AAAAAAAAAAAAAAAAAAGAGGGAGAAAAGTGATCATTCATGCATCTTCCTCAGACAGGATCTTTTACGTTTTTCTTTTTTTCCTCTCCATGATCTTCTTGAGGTTGTAATTTTGTAAATCAAGTCTGTTCCATTCTCATTTATGCTCATTTCAAAGGTTCGCACTCATACTCCAGTCTTTTGTCAATGGTGTTTCATTGTTGCTGCCACTGCTGCTCTGTCTCATCTATTATATTCTCTGGATCTTGTCAGCCACCACCACGGGGTTCTCTTTGCGGATCTTGGCGGCAGCCTCGGCCTTGTAATCATAGGGACAGTTGTGCTTGTCAGAGTACCGGTGGATGCTGCAGAACAGGTTGCCACAGCGACAGTCGAAACCTGGAGGCGCAAAAATCAAGGGTTAAAAGCTGGAATGGGAGCGTTTCACAAGTGCACTGACAAAAATTCATGCTGAACTGCGACCTGCTCACTCACCTGTGAGGCCCACTCTCTTGCGGCACATGAAGCACCTGTTCTTCTTAGGTTTGGGGGTGTCACTCTTACTTTCCTCACTGCTAGAAGAGGCTACAGGAGTAGGGCTAGAAGCAGCAGGCTGGCTTACAACTACGCAGAAAGAAAGACAACGGGAGGGGAAAAAAAAAAAAAAAGTCATAAGTCACGGAAGCCTTTAATGTGTCATTATCCCTTTAATTCCCAGAGCAGCAAACAAGGCTGTTTGTCATACTTTTACAAGACAATGAAAGCCAGTGGCCTCTAAAATGTTGCATTGTTGTCCAAGATAATAGTAATTAGTATTTTCCTTATCTCTAAATTGCCCCTCTTGTTCTTGGCAGCAAAGAATACACTATTCTGAGCAAGCCTCTGGCAGGCAACGTTAAATCTGAGTGTCCTGAGAGTGGAGGTATTTTTAAACAGGTTTATTTTTAGACACCCTCTCTTTCTTAGAGGCTGTAAGTGAAAACCAACAGCGGAGCTTAAGGTATGCAGCGAAGCATCAAAAATAAAACTGAGGCTACAGAAAGAACTATGTAGCAGTGTTTGCCTCGAGAAGTGTGTTTTTAAGCTGTCAACTAGGTATGTGTAAAATGCCTGCAATGTTGCCAGTAACCAATAGGAATGAAAGCATGTTTTTACCAGGCTCTAGGGGTTCAGGTTTGTCCTCTCTGGAGATGCTCATATCGGTCATTTGCTGAGTCACAGGAAGAGATCCTTGAATGGTTCTGCAGGTTTAACCAGCGGGGAGCGAGGTGAGTTAGTCATCACATTGCTCATTCAATTTCAAGAAAAGTAACCAGCAAACATCACGAGAGCTAATGGCAGCGGATACTGACCTAGACATGTCTGGTGAAGGGGCAGGGGAGGCATCAACCTTTGCTAGACTGGCTTCTAGTCTCTGGATGGCAGACGCCTCTGAGGTAGGACTAGCAGTTGAGCCTGTATGATGACAATGATAATCAATTTAAAAATCCAAATAAATACAATCCAAGTGATGTGGGTTTGCATGCCAACAAGTGAGCTGAATAATAGAAACTGTTTTCAGCAGTTTCAGGCCTATCTAAAAATGTATTCAACGTCACTTCTCTTTTGGGACATATTCTCCCTTGTTCCTTGTTTCAAAGTACTGATAGTGTTTTGCATCATGAAAAACTTTAATGTTGGATCACAGAAGTGCTTAAAGGAGCACCCCATCACCCTGACCCTGTCTGTTATTATCCACAGTGGAGTAAAAGCTTTAAATATACTGATTAAAGTTCATATATTTGTTTACATAGAAACTGATGTAATCAGTCTGAGCTGCAGTAACTCTGAAGGAGAAGACAAATCAAATTTGTGTGTGCGGTCTTACCCATTGGGCCGAGGGGGCTCATGCGGTCGCTGCTCTGCTGCCGTGTCAGGTGTTCCTTGTAGCATACGGAGCACATACCATTGGTTCTTGGGTTGCCATAGAAACCGCAACCTGTGGCACAAAGCATGGGCACTGGACTCTGGTTCGTCTCTTGAGCCATTGCTGAAAGAATGAGGGAGACAGAGTGAGAATGCTTCTTAGACCGACGTGCAGTTTGCAACACCAACACCTCGATCTGACACGTGCATGGAAGAAAGAAAAAAAAAAAAGAACTGAAATGTTTTCCTGGACGCATTTCCACCCCTACCGCTCTTCCTGTTAGTCTGGTTCCAGAGAAACTGGTTGCAGTATCAACATAGCTGACTGATAACACGGCTGTCATTTTATGTAAATTCAGCTTTCTGTTTTGACTTGCCCTTTAGCCTGAATACAGTAATGAATGTGTCTCCGCAGGAATCCCACAGAACAAACAACACTCACTGTTCTCTGTTCAACACCTTTGGCAAAGGCTCGTATGTGCTCTGTTCTACAGCTTTGTTCACTGCAGTGTCACCTCTTCCCTCCTGCCGGCTCTTTTGGTGGTTCTGAGAAAAACTGAGAGGTATTCCCATTATCCCCCCCATCCTCTGCTTTTTGTAGGCTTTAGTGTCAGCTGTTCTTCTTCCTCATACCAAATTCAGGCCCTTACTTCCTCCATCTAATTAAAAACAAAAGCTCTGACTCACTTGCGGTATCATGATCGCAAAAGAACACACGAAACACTTCAGATTAAATAAGATTCTGTTTTTGCTAAATGGCACAAGGCTATAAGCGATAAACAAAGTAGGTCAGCTGTTTCACAAAGTGTTCCCCTCCCTACCCTTGGCTCTTGCCTTACAAGGCATTTCAAAACCTCCCTAGTCATTTCTCACCACGCATACGCCCAGAAAATGAGCGTGCATGTGCGTAACTTGGCAAAACAAGTAGTCCTGTGACGTTTGCTACCCGTCTTTGTGCAACAGCGCAGGAAGTTGTGTAATGGGAGACGGTGACTTTGAGGTGATTGATCAAAAACAGCCACATGAAAGGACAGATACACATGGAAGGCCTGGATTAGATAGGAAAGAAGAGCTGTGCCTGCCAGCCCTGTCCGGGCCATTTTACAACTCAGCCGATCACCTATGATTCTTCTCCCCGCCCCCCACACACAGAAAATAAATACAAATAAAATATAAAATCCACACACAACAACAGGCTCATATTTCCTCTGTGGACAACCTTTGCCCTGTTCTGCTGCAACACAGCAGCTGCTTGCGTTGGTGTGAAGCTCGTCTATATTCTGGTCACGGACACAAACAGGGCAGGCGAGCTCAATGTTCTGCCAGTTGGTTTAGAACGTCCTGTCAGTCCACCCGAGGTGTCCTAAATAACAAGCACCATTAGCTATCAGACCCCCACCCAAACCTGTCTTCCTACCACTTCCTCGTTTCTCTTCAGCTGGATGTTTTCACCAGTATGTCAATAAAGGGTTTCCTTGGAAAAGCCCACAAAGACCTTTTTTTCCCTTTCATTTGTGTCACGTGTCCAACTGCTGACTGCTGAAAAATACCAGACAGGGGGACTCAGCTAAAAGCTAGTAACTAATGCGTAGCTCAAAATGCTTTTCATTTCAACCCCCTTTATATGGATCATCAGTAATTTCCTTTTAAAGCTGACTGACTTATCAGTTTATCGTGTAGACTAGATGTAGACTGGACGAGTTTAGCTCCACGTTACGCAGAAACACTTCAATAAAAGAAAAGGTATTGATTTAAATTGCGACTAAATCACATCTGACGATGCAAAAACATATTACAAAAGAGGCCCATAGCAGTTAACACATTAACTTTATGACACAAAGGAACAATGGGTCCAGGTGTTTGATAAACAGCAGGCATGGTAACCTAATATTTAGCAAGACCTTATAAGCACAGCGATAAGGTAAAAAAAGACATGGCCACGCTGAATACTTCATAAGACTTGCATGTTTTTCGAAACAAAGGGGGATCTTCCAGATACATAAAGCATACTGAGGGTCATTACACATTCACCTCAATCAGTCCCTACCTATAACAAAACATGCACTTATGAATTATTCCAGACAATCCTATGAAACATTACAGATGTGAAATTGTAAAATACCCCAAACAAAAGGAAGTCGGGGGCTTTCCAGCACAGAGCAGATCATCAGTCACGACCAATAAACCCAACTTCCTTTCACAAAGGACTTGCCCTGACTGAGAACCTTCACAGTCACAAAGGATCCAAACCCTTCACTATAACCAAATGTGAAAACTGGTCTGACTAGAAACTATGCCATTTGATTTCTGTGGACAACAAAAACTACTGCGGAAACAAAAACGTACATGTGATAGTCTCCAGCAAACAAAAGGGGGAAACTGTGCTTCTTTATCAGGCGCAAGCCAAGCTCATATTTCAGGCCCTGCTGGGCTTAAAAAGTCCTGAGTCACACTGAAGGGCAGGGGAGAGAAGAAAAAAACAAAACAATTGGGCTTGTCACATGCTGTAAAATTTGCTCTTTAAAAATGGACAGTGTTGAAAACAAACCACGAGAAGCCTATGGGAACATAACGGCACTAATGTTTTCTGAAAACCCACTGTCTAGACAGTGAGGTATCGGCTCCCTTTGTTTCTTCTTTCTTCCTTTGTCTGCAATCTCCCTGCTTCCTGTTTAGACATCGTTTTGTAGTTCGCCTTAATCGCTTTATTTGTACTGAAATGCGGTGTTCTGCGTGATTTAAGCGAAGCTATGCGGACAACCACGGTTATATAATCACACTAAGGCACTTAGAAAGAGACTTGGTGATGCCACATAGTTCTACACATCGAGCAAAGCTCGTCTGAGCCAAAGCTGAAACTACTTCCTCCATCGGCCGAAGCCGTGCGAGAACTTATATTCAAGAAAATGTTCTGTAGCAATTTCGAAAGCAACTCTCTCGCCCTGCTTGCCCATTCAGCTTATGAATTTTCTATTTCTAGACAGGAATTAGCTGGCTTTGGTGCCCCATCCCCCAGCTCTCGGGACAAACAGAAAAATAGGCACAGCAACCAACTAGCTCGCTCCCTCCCTTGTTATTTTCACCTCCTTGAAAGAGACGGAATCACGTTCGAGGGCTTTTGACATTTCTACTCAGGAGGAGGAGATGGTGGTGATGGCAACTTTAACAAGCTAAAGAAATGGGGGGTGGAAAAAGCTTGTTTATCACACTCAGCCATCACGCAACGCACCGCCTGACCTTTCAATCCACCGTTAAAGGTCGCCATCACCGACCGCCACCTCTGCAAACACCCATCGTTTGGCTGATTACCTCGATAAGCCGAGCTCACTTCCAAAATCATCCATATTCAGAAAAAAATCCCAAAAAACAATAATCCAAGATCATCACCTGCTAAAAATCGATGAAGTTTCTCGCGAGACGACGGGGAAAAGTGGCCGTTAGTGTGGGCAGCTGGAAAATGTCGATTGATTTCAGGTTCCGGTGAGGTCCTTTTCTCTTTCTTGCTTCGGTTATGTGCCGTCGTCCTCGGTGCCAGACAGGTTTAGAGGGGTTTTAAGTCTCCCTTCCTCGGCCTCCTACCTTCCTTCCTCTCTCTCTTCCTCTCCCGTTCCTTCTGTATGGATGTTTGTTTCCCTCTTTAGTCAGAGGAGTGGCGGTGATGTCACGGGTAAAACAACGTGTCCCCATTGGCTACCCGCGGAGCCCTCGAGCTCTGTGTACAGCTCTGCCAGAAAGGGAGGGCGCTGAAACTCAATCTGCGCTTGCGCCACTTCGTGATTGCGTTATTACACATCTATTCGTCATCCTCCTACAAGGACGACCATATTGAGTAATCCACCTAAATGAGAGGATGAATGAATAATGGTGCTGACAATGAGTGAATTAAAACAAGAAGAATGCAGGTCCGTGATCCGTGATGCCTCTTTGTAGAAGATTCTACACACTTATCTGTGAGATGGCACTATTAATGTGACAGCCTCGCCCCTCCTGCTACTCACATGGCCTATGATTATTTCTGTCAGAAGAACAACGCAAGTACAGGTTGTAAACATGTTTTCCAGGAGACAAGCCAAGCGGACTCATTTCACAACATTTGGCTACAAACTGCTAATGTCCCAGTCACTGATACTAAATAGTGACCTTGACATTATCAATACTGTTAGGCCCAGTGAGGGCCCAGTCAGTCGTGAGGCCCTGATTTTAACCCTATTTCACATCAAAACTGCTAACATCAAACAACTCGACAAAATAGTTACAATGTCTGAACATTTTTAACTTCATCCACAATTTTTAACTATTTTGTTGAGTCAAACTAGTCTTCACAAAGATAGCTGTATAAGAGAAAAACACCCGAGCACCTGTGTTGATGTTGGGGAAGTTTTCAAGAAAAACACGTGAGCAGCACCATAAGATTGGAATTTTTTTTACATCTGTTAGAATAATGCCTTGAGGAAATAATAAAGGCTGGCGCTAGTTACTGGACTGTGACCTCTGAAAGAGCTTAGGGTAAGCCCTTAGTGGGATTTCTGGGAATTTATAAAAGAAACTGAAAAGAGATTTTAGTCACAAAACATTACTCAAAGTGAGCTTTTAGAACAGCAAAGTATCTTATTCTGCACAAATACAAGTAGTAGTCCAAATTGTGCCATTATGGGTAAGGCTATATTACCAAAGTAGCTGTGTTAAATATTCCAGTTAAATTAATTTACTAAAAGTAGAAAACATCTTACAAATTATTTTTGGTGGCTTGTCAAATATCAAATTGGCAGCAAAGGCACTTTGGCCCTCAGTATTTCTAAAATAAAGTCTTTCCTTGTGGTAAAAAATGTTTATAGTGAAACAAAATAGTTGACACAAAGTTTGAGGGGTCGCTTTAATTGACATAACCCATTGTTTTTACATCAACAGCCACCAGAGCATTACATCCACTGGATTTGTTTTTATGATACAAAATACACCTGTACTCTCCACTCACTTGCAAATGCGTCATACTACATAATTAAGTACATACATAGGGTACTGTGCCTTAAGGTCTAACAAGTCTCTACATATTCCCTCCCACCTTGTCAGCATAACATCACACAAATCCCCAGGCACTACAGGTCAGAGCTGAAAAAAACAAAAAAGTGTTGAAGTCGGGTGGTGTGAGCTTGTGTTTGGGGCGGGGGGATGTTGTCATCTCTCTGTGTGTCGATTCGTGGAAATCTAGAAGCTTACAGAAGTCTGGAAATCACTGAGATTTCTCAGTGTGTTTGATCCGGTTCAAACTAGCTTTATATGGAAACTGAAAAATGGTGGTAGCTAAGTGAAAGCAAAAGTGACTGCTGATCTTCAGCTGACTTTTTCAAGGGGAAGTCCTTCTCTTTCCTGCTTCAACACACACACACACACACACACACACACACACACACACACACACACACACACACACACAACTGGTTTCATCATACACAGATGAAGTCTGACCTACTTGTCTTTTATTAGCTTCCTGTGCTGTGTCCATTTGGACAGGTTTACTTGATTGCATATTTACTTGTTATTTTTATGGTATATTTTAAGAGCAAAGTATTTTAAAAGAAGAAAGGTAAAAATCATGAAACGACTGAAATGCTTTGTGTTTGACTGGGTGCTTTGGAGAGTTAATAAAGCAACTGATCTCCAATAAGCAACATGTCTAAAGGAACATAGTGCATGCATGCCAACAAACCCTAAGGAAGACTCCTTACATTATCATAAAACAGCGTGTTTTTTGTACAAGTTAATATCACGTGGCATCACAGTTTTATTATCTTTTGAGATTTTCAGAAAGACAAGCTTTGATGACCATGACTTCTTTTATATAGCCTTTATAACCCGGTCTTTCTTCTCTAATCAAACCTCAGTAAAAAGATTCCAGTTATAGTTTAGCTCACAGCTCACATATTACAACACAGGCTCAAAACAGTGCTTGTGGCAACCCACCACGCTGCAGTTTCATGCTAATGGTCTTCTGTGTGTACATACATGCGTGTAGCACTATCCCTCTGTTGACATTAGCCCGAAAGCTTTTCATATGTGAATGAAGAAGGGTGGACGGAAGACTGGGATTACACTGAGGTCTTTGTGCGCATGTGTTGTGTTAATACACAGCCCTGCAGGGAGCAGACGAGAAGGAGCATGTGTTGAAACGTATATCTGTTCAGTATGTGAAGGTTCACGGTTTTCAGTGAGAGGAGGGGGCAGCCGAGGAGAGAGTGGGAGGTGTTGAGTATCGTTACCCATCCCCCTCGCTGTCATAGCTAGGCTTTTGTATCTGTTTGTTGAAGCAGTATGTCCCTTTTTTATACATTAACATGTCATACACGTGAGGGGCTGAGTAACAATGCTGCCGTGGCAACAGATACCTACAATTTCTTTTGTTTTCTTTTGTTGTGTGTTTTCTTGTGCGTGTGTGTGTGTTTGTGTAAGGGTGTGAGGATTACTTATGTGAATCTGGAGCAGTCTGTCTGTAGTTACTAGGCAGATATTGGTCGACCCAACACAAACACACACACACATGCATGTGCAAACACACACAGAGGCACAGCTTGCCTGTGTCTGGCGTCGGTGTGGTGAGACACTGTCGATAAAGGGGCTAGTGGTGGAGATGGCAGCTTATCCATTTACATAAGCTGTGTGTGGGGCTTGATAAGCTCTGACTAAAACCATCGGTTCTAAACTTGATCTCCCTACCCTGCTCTGTCTACGCTCGGCTTTATGCGCAGCCCCCATAAAGAAGGGGGTGGTACTGTTTGTGTGTAGATGTTTGTGTGGTCTACAGTAAATAAAGAGAAGCATTTTTCATGAACAGACTGTGTCTATCTGATGTGGTGGGAGATCAGGGAGAGATTTGCTGAAAATTCCTGTTGCTGAAAATGTTCAGGAAACACTCAGTGAAGCACTTTGGAATTAGAGAATGCTTCCAAGAGATAGGCAGAGATAGGCAGACAAAAAATTAAAAAGACTCAAACCATTAAAGGGGAAGAATGAGCAGCACAACAGGCTCAAATTAAGGACCACTGAGTCTGTTGCTTGTTCTGGTACTGCACACCTCCCCTGAACCTCTCGTGAATGTGCTTCTTGTTATTTGTGAGCAGGGAGGAGTTCCCCAAAAGTTTCCCACCACAGTCTCTATCTAAAGTCCCTCCTCCTCCTTCTTTCCTCTTCACACACAGGCCTCACTGTACACGGGTATCTGGGTAATTGTTGGATTAATATGGAGTGTGTGTATAGACTTGTGCACACATGGTTCATGTAAAAGGCCAATGAAGAGGTGATGCATATGCATTTAAAAAAAAAAATCAGTTTCCATTTACAGGCTCTGTGTGGGTTTGCCCTTCACAGCTGATATAAGACACTCTATGTATGACCTGACCACATGTCTGCATGTGGTGATCAAATGTGAACCCCTGCATGTGTGCGTGTGTGTGTGTTGGTGTGCAGCAGATGTCCTGTGGCCCAGACTGGCTGGTCTTTGTTGCTGCTCCCTCGTGCAGACGGGCCTAGCCACGTGCTCCTCTGACTGCAAGGGCAAGCCACGCCTCCACCACTGTAATCTGTCAATTGCAGCAGCCAAGTCCCACCCATAAAAACACCCACAGTCTGCCAAGGCCTGCTTGCCTGCTCGATGACGCTGCTTTACTCACGCATACTTACCATGCTCTCTGTTTGTCTCTCGCTCACACCTACACACATCTGTTGCTGGCCCGTGAACATGGTGTGCAAATTTGAGCAGCTCACTTTCTCTTCATCCATGTAAACCGTTTATTTTCCCCTTTCCCCCTCTGCCTGCTTTTGATATATTGCAGTGTGAAGGTATTTTTTTAAGCATTTATTTCCGTGTTGGAGAAATAGTCAAATCCCCTCCTCAGAAACACCCAGAAACAGGAAGAAGGAATTTCTTGAGGGAAAAAAACACAAGACAGGGAAACATCTAGATGGGCAAGTAGTAAAGACTTGCTATTAATCCTGGCAAAATGCCAACAGCAACACTTAAAGACGCCTGTTTTTCTACAGTCTGTACTATTGATAAATGGGTCTAATCTTTGCTCAGGTGCAGTCACTCATCCCAGATAGTCTTTGGGGTAAATAATCTATTGAAAGTGCACATCAAACATTGTGCCTTAGACATCCTTATATGCCAGGTCTCTGTTTACAATGATTACGTCATTTTTAGTCCCCCCTGGCAAATGTCTATAGTCTGAGTCACACCTGGATTAGCTTGCACTGTCCTCTCACTGTCTTCTTTCTCCCTGACAAAAACAGCCAAGTTTTACCCTTAGGGCCAAAACCTCCTGCTGCTTTACATTTAGTGTCAACAGTCGTGCAACTCAGGCAAAATAAATGCTATACAAAGTTCACTGGTAGATTGTTGTTATCAGGGAAACACAGGCAGGCTTTCTGCAGAAAGTGTTTACGAATTTGTGTTTATTACCCAGTACAGCTGGAAAAGAACTGGTTTTGGTGATGCTTCTCTAAAGTAGCCCCCCCCCCCCCCCCCACACACACACACGCACACGCACAAACACAAAAACTCCACATATTTATTTTGGCATAGAACAGTAAAGTGCCTGTAACCCTCACTAGACATCCTTCCTCTAAGTCTATGCTGCTTT